TAATGTGTTCCAGTTTTGAAGGGTATGGGTACTGGTGAAACCTGTAATTTCACATGGGACTTGTCAACTTAAATCTCGGGGTGAGGGGCGCAGTGGTAGTGCCCCTCAGATCTTTGCAATTTAAGGCTCTGAGTGGCACTGTAACTGTTAAGGACAGTTGTGTAGCTTACCATCAGGCGCACGACTTGTCGTCCCGTCACTTGATGTTATAAAAAAGAAGTCGTCAGTTATATCATCAGTTAGGTTCAGATTGGAAAATTATGATTTTAGATTTATGACACTGTTGTTGTCGTTGTTCTAGTAGTAACGATTATCCTAATGATCGTTTTTCGTTCTGTAGTTGTTCTTTTGTTTCTTCGTTGAATCATTTCTAACCCAACCTTTTAACCTAGTTAGTTAACTGAAGATGTAAAAAATTTTAGAAACCTTAGTCTTATTGATTTTTTTAAATTTCACTATGTTTTTATCACTGTGACAAAAGAAAGCCTTAAAAACTCAGTACCAAGATTTATAACAGATACTTAATCCTTCGTATGGTGCCGCCATTTTCGCAATTCGCTTGTCTGGCAAATTCCCGCTCCGGGACACTAGAAAAAATTTGTTATCTCGCACGCTCCTGGTCCGGGACAATCTATACGTTCCGTTTAAACTTATTCTAGTATGATTCAGGCGGAAAAAACTAATTTTACACTGCTTTAACGCATACTAAAGCGACAACATAAGACAAGGATAGACTATAATTGCCGAGTCGTATTCACAGAACAATAAATATAGTAGAAGTGGTTAGTTAGCGTCGGATGCGTGCCAACTGTAGGTCTCGTTAGATCTGCTTGAGCTCAGTCCGCCATTTTCGCTTTGTATGGTATGGTTGCGTCATTCTTTCGTGCTAATTCTCCAAAATTGCAGAAAAATGCCTTTTTGTGCTGTTTTGGCGTGCAAAATTGACAGCCGCACCAAACTATCACCCGTAGTAGTATTTCATATCGTCTGTAAGTCTTATTTTAATAAATTTTCCGTTTTCTGTTTATCGAATTGCTGTTTTGTACTGTAACAAACAAAAGTAAACATTATCCCAAAGCTATATGGTCGAGTTTTATCTTTTGGAGAACTGAGTCAACGTCTCGAATTTTTCACGCTGGTAGCGAACAAAAGTTTAGCGAAAAAATGCTTCATGAGTATTTTGTTAAGTTCTGCAATGCAATCTGTTAGCTTAACACATAGTGATTTGATAAATATAGTATGTGTGCATAGGTTTCATATAAAAAAAAAACAATAAAATTATAGTTTTTCTAAACAGCTGACACTAGAACTAAGTGCCCAGCTGGAGTCCCTACCAGACGTACCTAATTTTGCAAAATGGCGGCGCGAAATGAAGGTATTCGCCAGTCGTCCCGGAGCGGGAATTTGCTAGACGAAGGGATAGAAAAATTTCTTCGACCTATTAACTAGATCCCTAGCGCAATTGGCAGAGTAACGCTCCGGTACAACATGGACACAGGTACAAGCCCCGTCGGCTCGAAGGCATTTTTCTTTATGTTCGATCTTTGTATTAATAATTGTAACTCATGTAAGTCTTACTTAAAATATCAAATAAAATGCTTACCAAATGGAAAGATTTTAAACACCACACCACAAAAGATACACACACATAGACAAAAGTAAAGATCTTTGTATACTGAAGAACAAAAGTCTACCCAGAAAATTAAGATTTCCCATTATCATCACTTAGCGGGTTTTCAGAAAGCTGATATTCTTGTACACCAGGGAACACCGCTACATCTCCATGATTTATATCTCTTTTGTCCCTTTACATACGGGAGATAATTTAGGTGGCCCAATTTATATAGCCGGGACTTACACGTAATCTCATACCCATTTAATTAATTTTTATATACACGATAGTCAGCTGACATAAAAAAGGACGATACATGAAACGCCATTTTTTTATTATAATATCAAGTGACGGGTAAACTTCAGCTTTAGTAGCAGAAGAGCTCCTTGTGAAAGTGTTCGTCCAGGGTAGTATTGCCACCTTACCCATTTATGTCGCCAAGCAGTAATAGTAATAGTTTATTTCTGTAATTGTTTACATTTTACAATCATAATGTCAGGAGTCTCCTTTTAAGCCTAACAGTGCCTGTGATAGGAGACTCCGCATAACCATAACTTTCTAATGTAAACAACTTATTGTATTTAAAATATTTAAAAATTCAAAACTTAAATTAATTCGAATATTACTGTTTAAATAAGCTAAAATAACTTTTTATATTTATGGGGTTTAATATTTATTATCTATTAAGAGAATACAATACCTAGTCACGTAGTGTATTTTGAGCATGTGTATAGCATTAATATTGAATGTGTGTTATAGTGAGTGTACAGATATATGTGTGTGAATGTGTATGAGTGTATATTTGGGAATACTACTGTATGGATCTCTGAAGCGTCTCAATTTCCTCATAATTAAGTAATTTCAACCACTTATATAATATGTTTTTGCATTCTGTATTAATTTTATTATACAGACGTCATCATTACTGTGTTCCCGTTTTGAAGGGTAAGGATACTGGTGAAATTGCAGGGTCTTGTCAACTTATGTCTTAGGGTGATGGGCACAGTGGCAGTGCCCCTCAGATCTTTGCGATTTAAAGCTCTGAGTGGCACTGCAACTGTTATGAACCGGTCGTGTAGCTTACAATCAGGCGCACGACTTGGTCGTCCTAGATATTATAAATAAAGAAAAAGCTTCACGCTTGTCCATAAAAGTGGAGTGCCACTCAGAGCTTTAAATCGCAAAGATCTGAGGGGCACTAAAGGTGGCAGTACTTCCCTGAACGAACTGATTCATAAAGAGCTCTTCTGCTATAAATCAGTGATTTTAAATTCTTTGCAAAACAAAATCTGTTAAACCTTTAAAGGCACTTGTAACTTTGTTTATGCTCAAAAATCGCTTTGCTTGTTTATATTCAAAAATCGAATTTCATACAGTAAACTTGAATACCGAACACATTCGAAACACAAAACATTAAAAGTTATCGGTGCGTTATAAGGCAGATAAAACGTAAACCTCGCAATTAATAAGCAAATTGTTAGATTAATGAGTTTTGTTTCTGCGTAGTACGGTTCAAATTTCAGTGGCCGTTCCCTTGAGTCCTGAGCTATCCTGAAAGATTATTCAGTATTAACATTTGCCAGCTACAACACGATCGGATCAAGTTATTTTTAGATTAAAGAGGAAATTAGTTTTTCTTTCTTGTCCCTCTAAATGTACAAGGATATCTTTTTCGAAAACTTAAATACGTTATCGAAAAGGAGCACAGGAACACAAATAAAGATGTCAACATAAAGATCACTAAAAAAAATAGATTTTATGAAAACTGAACATTTGCCATTTAAATCCCGCCAACATCAAATAATTTATTATTTCAAATATAGGAACGCATTCCATGATCAAGGATAATTTGTCTTTTAGTATTTCCTATCTCTTTTCCTCTAGTACCAATTAATACGAATGAAAGAGATGGCATGATGTTTTCCAAATATTTTGATAAAGTAATGAATGGCGAGGTTAAAGGGAAAGGAATCCCCCCACTCCATTTCTTATTTGTTTGGATGTAAAGTTGAAAGTGCTGACCTTATTGATTGGTTCTTGTTAGTACAAAAATAATAGCGTAATAAAATGTTTTTGAGCTTCGCCTAATATCTTAAAAAGGTGTATCGTGCAGGTCTGTGCCCAAGAAACTTCTGAAAACAAAACGAAAAGAATTCTAAAGTTAATGTCTTATTTCGTAAAGGTAAAGTAGTGATAAAAATTCCAAATATTAAAAAGGAACAAATTCAATGTGCAACTGAGAGGAAGTCCTGATAAAAAGGCCTTTTTTAACAAAGACATTTGTTTGCCTATTCATGAATAAAATTTCTGTTGCATTGCAAAATAAAATTCTAAGAATGAAAACCAATCAAATGCCAGTCCACACAAGAGCTAATAAAGCGCTCATCTAAAACCGACAACATATTCATAAAATTCCTCAACCTTCCCTTTTGCCTTGTTTTAATTCATCGTAAGCAGTGGCGGCAACTTGGCACGCCAAATCCGTGCGTGGAGTTGAGAACTGACCTCTGCGCAAAGAGTGGGACTCGGCGGGGCGAAGTACGGAGGGGGCGGGAGACGCGGCAGGCTCCAGGGTAGCTTACATAACGTCGGGAAAACGGATGTACAACCCCGGCAATTTTGCTGTCTCGCTCGCTCATTAAGGTGCAGGCACTTGCGATGAAATTATTTTGCAATTTTTTTGGTTGTAGGAGATCGAAATTGGCAAAGTCTATTTACTAGAAGTTCAAGGAGGTAATAAAGTGAATAATACATACATCTTTCTGAAGTCCCAGAATTTTTGCATTGCATTTTGTTCTGTTTACAAGCAATTATTTTACTACGGTAGTGTATTTAGAAGAAAACTTTTGTAATTTTCAAATAAAAATAATGTTTACAAGTATATGATTACAAAATATGAATTTTCGCCTTTTATTTTTGATCATTCCCAGATTTCAGAGTTTCGTAGACGTTTCACTACGTTATTATATACTATATTAGACGCTTAGATAAACATGCTCTACCTATTCCTATCTCTATTCATATGGACAAAATTTTTGTTTTGTTTCTTGAATAGCAGTATGATAATGAACATTATATGTGTGTATTTTTTAATTATTGCTAAAACGTAAAAACTTATATTTTTTTTTTTTAATTATATATATATATATATATATATATATATATATTCGTTGTACTTTCTCTTTTGTATGTAGTAAACAACGTCGATATTTTTTTATAAAAAAAAAGTCGTTGATCCAATCACTAAACGCTACTATTGCTCAGCAAAGCAATCACTTAAATATTCAATTAGCGACTCATCAGTAGCAAGGAAAATCGTCACCGACCTGCACACCGCTTTACCTCTCCCCGCACATGTGCCGATCGCGCTGACATTTACGTAGTGCGCCCCGTGCCGCCGCGTAGACGCGCGTTTTGAATGCGCTCTTTAAAAAAATAGCGTTCGAATTTTGAAAACCGTTAAATTCTTTTTTTTCTTTTGGATTTTAGAAAAGAGTGGAAGTTTATTTTTTTCAAACATTTTCGTTCAGCTGGATATTTGTTTTTTATTTTTTTTTAAGTGTGAATGTAAGGGGCCTTTTTCCCTGGGAGAGCATCACTATAGCAACGAGTGACGTCAAGTTCAGGGGCGGCTGGTGCATTTTCGTTCAATATCCACTAGTTTTCGCCTGCAATAGTGTGTTATTTGATTTATTTGCACTGTCATAGGACGTAATACTACAACATAAACGGTAAGCATTTATTTACTATTATTATAAATAGTTTAGTCAAGTTAAGGTAAGTTACCTATCTATATAAAATATTGTGGTAATATATATCAGTTGTACCTGTATCATACAATAATCTTCATCTTTGAACAAACAAGTTGATATTACATAAGTAAAAAGTCGATAAACTACGAATACACGTAACACGTATGTTGTTCTATACGATATCTATATAATATTATAAATGCATGTTTAAAAAAAATTGAACAATCCCTTTTGCCTTGCCTATTTTCAAAGCCAACTAAATACTTAGTAAAAGCGTGTAAAAAAAAAGTACGTCGATAATTACATTAACGTACGTAAAATACATAATTTTGTTTCTATAAACGGCATTTAAGATCCATTAGGGCAGTATTATTGGTGTTATTAAAAATCAATTAGGTGTGACACTTCTCGCTCAATTGAATTGATGTGTTAACGGGTGCCGTAAGTACCTGCACAGATTCTATAATAATTTAATCAGGACTCAATCGATCTATTTTGTACTTCTGTGGACTGTGTGATGTAATGTCTATATAGGCTTGTAAGGTATGCACAGCGGAGTCAAGCTCCACAATATCTTCAGCATGAGTAGTTCAATGTTTAGTATTTGTTTTAAATCGTGCTTATCTGAATCTATTTCATTAGTTCCTTCGACAGGTACTGATGAGGCTTCTCTATGTAATTCCTTAACAAGCACTGTATGCTCATGGACATCGAAGTCAATACCTTCAGCATAAATACTTAAATGTTTAGTATTTTGTTGTTAACAATGCTTGTCTGAATGTATTTCATTAGTTCTTTCGTCAGTTTCTTTAAATTGGGTACTAATGGGATTTCTTGATACAATTCCTTTACAAGCACTGTACGCGTACATATAGCTAAGTCAGTATCTTTAGCATGAATACTTAAGTGTTTAATGTTTTGTTGTAAACAAGACTTGTCTGTCGATCGTCTTACTTGGTTTGACTGTTCATTTAAAAGTTATTTTTATGTAATAATTCTCCTAGCACTGGGCGTATCTAGTTTGCCGTCAATAACACAGCACCTTCAGTTCGTGTACTATAATGTTTAGTTTCGTGTTCTAAATTTTGTATCTCAACTATTAAAACAATTGTATGTGCATCTTCAAAATAAGAGTTAAAATCATTTTATAGACTTATATACGTACAATACGGCTTTTATTGAAACAGTTTTTCAATAATTTTTAAATTTCTTCACAAGGGCTGGAGATGTTTATAGCGACGTCAGTTCCACAATATGTTCTGCTAGAGTATTTCGATGCTTAGTATTTCGTACCTCAAGTATAATATAATTCTAAGTAGTCACTTCAAAGGGACTGTCTGCATAAATACAGAGATCAATCCACCTACAAAGATAATGGAATAATTAGTCCTCAGGGACCTCACTTAAAGTTAAAATCGAATTGGAATTTAATCTAAGCTGTTCACATTGATACTGCCAGTAATTCTAAGGAAGAGTTTAGAATTAATCCCGTCAGTACAACGAACAATGCTGCCTGGGTGTTTTTGAGGTCAGGGCTAAGACTATTGAAGACGAGCGTGTACCATTTTTGTCTCATTTTGACATTGCGGACAACGGAAACCTATTTTACTTTTTCTCTTAAAAATGTTTACTTTTTTAAATTTTCAAAATGGCGGCATAACTTTTTATACAATTTCTAGTTGGCGCAAAACATTTTTTTTTAACATACCAAGTAATATGAGCATCAAATGATATGCCTGGTATAAGCGACAGGCATGTCGTGACATTTGCAGTGCAACTTAGAGCTTTAAATCGCAAAGAGGGCACTGCCACTGTGCCTGGCACCCAGAGACATAAATTGATTTTACCAACACCCTTACTCTTCGAAACTGGAACGTAGTAATGCTCACTTTACTGCTTGGCAGCAAAAATACAATGTAGTACTTCCCTGGGCGAACTCTTTCACAAGGAGCCCTGCTGTTACTAAAATACATGTTGATACACATTTAAGCCTATATTTAAGTTCCTTTGGATTGCTAGAGATGCCCTGTGTAATATTAATAATACGGCAGATAACCATTCTAATTTAAATTTCCTGAACTATGAGCCCCAGAGTAATAGAATTCACTTTAGAAAAATTAAAACCTGAAGTGAAAAAACTTTTACGCCGACAACAAAAAAGCCGTTTAAACCAACAGCTTCAATCTACAGATAAGAACATTCACAGAAACTATACATATGTTCCAAACAAAACACTATCAACAGTGATAGAGTTTCAGTACCGTACAGTCAAAGGGTATCAGACAGACGTAACTGTCTATATCTATTGGGAATGAGCTAGGCAGGCAGATAATATTGAGTGTTTACACAATACGTTTCATTTTGGTTTGACCCAGGGACCTCCCGATTACTATTTATAATTATTGTATTAGTAAAAAAAATAACAAATTAACTAAAAGAAAAAAATACAGTCGAGTTGTTGAAATTATTGATGTTATGTACTTTTCCTTGCGGAAAGGCAAAGATCTTTAGACCATCCCTAGTCTTTCTTTATATTTTTAAATTCATATATGGTAACCATAGTAACTGTTTTATTCATATTATCCCTACTATGTCATTGTATAGTCAGAGCACAGACTGTTCTAATAGTTCTAATAGTTGTTATAAGGCAGTAACCGCCCAATTTAGTACGTAACCTTTTTTTATATCTACAATTAATATTCGAATTATAACTTAATTTTAGTTTAAAAATAACTCCATATATTTATCATCAAAGCACCGTGAAAAGGGTACAAAACTGCGAACTGAGTTAGGTACCATTCTCATAGCACGAACCGTGTCGTAACAACATAGCCTCTCTCTGAGGTAACCATATAAACTTGACCTCTCTTAAATCAAGCATAACGTATATTTCACGGGTCATTAACCACTGGCGACTATGCACCTAGTTTCCTGTATACCGATGTTAAAGACCTGTTTTATCGAAGTTGTTCCACTAAAGTAGAGCTCAAAATGTAGTGGATAATAATTCCAGTATAAACTGACCTATGCTTAGGAAGTCATAATATGAGGTTCTCGGGTTAAGTCATGTTGGAACCTTAGGAGATATTTCGTCGAGGTCTGCTTGCGCAAAGATGTTGACATTACCAACTTATGTGAGAAGTGGGGGCTATAGTGGGAGGGTTTGAGAGTTTGTTATATATGGTGTTATTGTGGTGTCTTCTTTAATATTTATAGGAAAAAATAGTTATTCATAAAAAATATAAACTAAGTACCTACTATGGGTTTACAGTGCAATTCGTACCCTTAGGGCATTGGCACACTACGTCCGATTCATATCAATTCCGAATGACGGGTCCGAAAAATCGGATGCAGTGGACAAACGCGTTAAGAATGAATAAAGCCACATGTGATCATACGTTATTAATTTTATCACATGAAAGTTATACAAACAATACGAATTACATGAAACAAATTAAATATGTATATGAAATTTTATAATAACACTCCTATTCATACATAAAAAGTTATCGACAAATTTCCTTCATTTTCTCTCCTGAAAAGTTGTAATTTTACAAATGTGGCCTTATTACACCAAAGGTGCCAATTATTCAAAATGTTCTGCTAATGACCGCTAGGGGCGCTATACAGTTTGCAATAGAAAAATTTTCGACTATTATACTCGGTCGCTAGCGATAACTATTACCGTCAACTAATGGCAGAGACACTGATTGCACGTAGAAAAAAATTTCTAAATTTCAAGCTTCGGAACTATTCGAAGTTTGACGTAAATTCACGATTGCATTGTTAAACTTTTTCATTCCAATGTTGTTTTATTTAAGAGCGGTAGTATTCCTGTGACAGCATATACCTTTTTTGTAAGTGACAGAACGAACAAGTCGTACGTCTGGCGACACGCCTGTCCATAGCAGTTACAATGCCACTAAGAACTTTAAGCGCAAAGATCTGAGGGACACTGCCACTGCTCCTGTCATCATGAGAAATAAGTTAACAAGTCTCGTGCGTCTGTAATTCCACTAGCACCCTTATCACGGAACGCAGTAATGCTGACATTACTGCTAGGCAGCAGAAGTAGGTAAAAGGTGACTGTATTTCCCTGGACGAACTATTTCGCAAGGAGTTCTATTACTACTAAACTATAACTTTAACACTTGTTAAGAGTCTGTACTATCTCAGATCGAATTAAAAATTTTCGCGTATTAATATGTTTAATTAAGAATTTATTTGTTTTACAAACGAAATTGACGCCATTTGAAAAATGTATATTGAGGTATACGTGTTCTAATTACATCAGTTGATATAAAAAAAAAAAATGTTATATGTGAAGTAGGACCTATTGAATACAGCGGTTTTCTTTTAAAATTTCGAGGTAAGTTTATGATTTTTTTTGTATCGTGTAAATTTTTAGGAATCCGTATTTCACACCATGTGTGAAAACAAGTTTCCTAAAAATTGTAATTAGTGTATTTATCCTCAATTTTACTATATATTTTTTGCAAAGTGAATGAATCAACACTTTCAGTGTTATATCGACTGTATCGACTCTTAATGTTTAGTAGTAATATCTCACGTTTCAACGGTAAAGAAAAATACCATCATGATACCTACATGTCGGAAACTGACTCGCAACCCTAGAGAAACATGAAAAGATCCTTACCCGCTTCAGACCAACATGGGTAACTATGACCTAAGCCCTCATCAAAGAGGATATCGGTGCCCAGAAATGATAATATAATAACAAAAAAATATTAACCAATAGACTAAACTGGGTGAAACATTATATATATTCAGCCGTAAGGTACCTTTAAGTATATATCGACACAGAAATGTATCAAAACCTGACGTGTTTTGTTTAATATTCCTGTGCCAAATATTTCGCTGACCGTTGATTACAAATACTTACTTACTTACTTTTTTTTGCATACTAATGGTAAAAACAAGTTTGACTACCACAGACGACGGTTAAACAATTAGCAAAA